TGAATTTAAATTAATGACCTGGAATAATAAAAATTCACCAATATATTTTTCTGTACTGAATATATTTGAAAATTCATAGTTTCCTATAAAAACAGCCAATTTTATGCTAGTAGCCCTAAAAAGACCCATAAACACATTTAATGCTGGACGTTTTTAGACGAGCCGATAAATTTCGGTACAACAATCAATAACGGCACACACACACACACACATATACAAACACGCACACACAATATTCACACCTGAATTTACTTTGATTATACAGTCATAACCTCAATTTAATGTGGATTATTGTCAACCAGGTGAACTCTACGAATATTTCTTGCAGGTTTTAACATTTTATCACCTAAATTTAATATTTGATTTAATATTGCCTTGAAATATTAAAAAAATACTTGAATAATATTTGTCATTAATGCCTTTCAAAATAAATGTCGCAGCTTTTAAACTTATCGTTTTAAAATTTCGTAACAAGTTTCATATTTTACATCTGTGCCGATTATTATCTCAAGACAAGCTGTGCGGCCGCTCGTCTTGCGTCGGTAGGAATTAAGATGTAAACCCGAAATAAAACATTAAACGAAACGATAAAAGATAAAAGCGAAATGCGAGGGGATGCTAATCGTTGCTATTAATGCGATGTTTTCTCTATGTTCCAACTCCAAGCCGCCAGTCGGAAAGCCACCCTTCGTGCGCTGGGCGCGCACAGAATTAAGATTTCGCCGCGTTTGGAATTTTCCTTTCAGCGCACACTCAATATGTATGTAAATAAATTTGTGTACGATATGCCATAATAATGCTGAAAAGCCTAATGGCTTTCTGACACGACAGTTAAATTAATATTAAATTTGTCCTTTCAATCTGGCGCGTCGGCGACGTCGGTGGCGGCGGCGACGTCGAGCAATAAATCTATGAGGGCGTCGACGCCGTCACGACGCTAAATGCAAAGCGAACGCTGTCGAATTTCATTTTCTATTTGTCAATATCAGCCTGAACCTGTACCCCAGAGACAAAAAACAATTTTTTGTCTAATTTATTTTTTACCGTTAATTTTTTCCACCCCTTCAAATAATAATAATAGTTTCAATTCCTGAAATCTTTGGACAATCATCACTTAGTTGATGTAAAGAAATGAGAAAAGACAATTTTAAATAAAACATTTTTTATTACATTAAATTCTTTTTTAGCAGATTTAAATTTCAAGTTATTTAAAGTACAATCTGTTACAGTTCTTGCACACATTTTACAACGTTTTATTATATCCGGTACTCACATAATAGTCTGCATTCAGTATCACTTGAAAGTGTTTCACTGTTTCAGAATATGTACGTGCAAGCGCTGAATGTTTATGTTAATGTTAATGTTGGTTTATGGGCGATTGTGGAGCGCCGACCGGGGATTTTCTGCCTCCTCGTGCTTCCCACCTTTCCCGCCTTCCGGCGCACTAAGCTCCTCGACGCCGCCGCCACCGCAACCTCCGCCGCCGTCGCCGTCTGTCTATATTGTGCGAGGATATTAATGGCCGCGGCGTAATTTGTTTGATTCAGCTGTCGGGTCCCATAGTTTAATCTGAGATAGTGCACCCCGAGCTGCCATTATTTCACCTGCTAATCAGCCCTTATCGTGTTAGCCTCTCTCTCGCCGAGTTTATGCTTATTTTACGCTCGAGCATTACGCTTAGCTTTACCTTTACGTTTCATAGCTGACGCGTGATAAACTCTGACAAATTCCGACAAGCGAATCAATCATTTTATTACTCGCATGCTCTGACCACCCATAACCGTTCAGATGAATCAGCCAAGTCATCAAAATCAACTGTAAAACAAAAACAAACTCACTAATAAATATTTATTGATTTTCATTTACTTGCAGATTAATTATTATATTGCAATACCATCATACGAGTAGTCGTATGTTATAAACATTTTTCTTTTCCGTGTGAGGAGAAAGTCGTGTTTGCTTGTTCATCGTATTTTTCTCCACTTGTTCGTTTATAAACGAGATGTGAGTACGAATGTAACATAAAGAAGTGGAATTGCATTGGTCTAGACTTCTAAAGACATCTAGCGGCAAGCGATACGCAGGAACGGTGCAAAAATCTCTATGAAATATTAAAGTAACAATTTCCAGTTGGTACGCGGGTAAAACATAATTCAGAAACGTCTGGTTGGTTGGTTGGCGCTGCCTTTGTGGTCGACCGACTTTCAAACCGACTGCAACAGAGTGCAATTTATTTCATCCATGGACCAGCAACATTAAACATCGAAAAAATCAAACCGAAATACTCGATCGGATATTTTACGATAGTATAACCATATAACCAGAGAAATGTTGCGTTTTTTACTGATAAATTGAATTAAAAATAGAAATAAATATGATTTCATGTTGGAATCGCTGAAATTATTGCTCGTCTAGTCATTTGGAAATCTAGGTCGGATTGAGGAAGGCACGGAAATGGAGTGGAGCGGAGTGTAGCTTTGGAAGCTTTCAAATCGACAGTTCGACTCTCACCGAATGCCCGGCTAAATCTATCCGCATCAAGTTGGACCAGTGTCTATCCAGCTGGCGGCGACCGCCTGCCAGACCTTTCTCTAGCTCTCTAACAGGAAGTCGCTTCCGGTCTGATTCGAGATTCAAGCTTCAATGATCATAACTCACAGATATTTGTATTTTACCTTACCTCAACTTCTGAAGCCTTGCTTAAAATACAGTAATTTCAAAAATACATTTTATAACAAAAAAGACAGATAGCACGCCTTAAATACAATTTACAAAAAACAGGAAAATATTATTTTATAATTTTTATGATATGATTTCAAGGAAACAACCATAATTATGGTCCTTCGCAATGGTGCTCTTAATGCGATTACTATTGCGCTTACGGTTAAATGAGCGTTAAGACCACATTATATTCAACAGTTAAGTGAATCGAACGATTAAAGCCGGCGTTTAAACCATCAACGCTGCAGATTACTATCCCGCATAGCAATTGGAATGATATGGAATCGTGCAAAACGACCAACTCTTGCCAAACCTAGCCTAAGCTAACACATAGAATTATCCTCGTGCAGTATTAGGGTCATAGGGGTTACTGTGATTCGGCTCAGTAGAGCAGGCAGGCACAGACAAGGATATCACCTAGACGGTGCAGAATAGACTGAGATAAATTCGAAACTGGAATGTCCTCATGTAGGAATAGATGCAAGCAGATGATGCTCTCATAGTCAAAGTCAAATAGAAGACAGCAGAGAGTATTGCCGGTTTGAGGCTGTTGGCCTATCCGTCTGTTCCGCTCTATTGAGGCAAGATCCTCACAAGATTGAATATTATCAGCACTTCCTGGGACTTTGTACGAATCGTCGCTTTTTACCACAAAAATCTACCTTGAATTTCTTTCCAGAAACGCTCGAAGGTACAATATGTAAGGTAGAAATATATTTTGTTCATTTCGGTTGCCACACGTTCATTTTTACATCGGTGGCAAATATACATGTATCCTCAGGCGTTCAGAAGGATAAAACGAACAAAGTTCTGAACACCTTACTTTGAGCTGTATTCGAGTATCGTCTTACATTCAAGGAGCAAAAAATCCTATTTTGAATATTTTCAATATGTATTTTAAGGGAGATGAAGATTTATTTGTTGAATTTTTGTAAATCTACATCGTCACACATAATTTATCAGTCATTTGCGGTAGATCGGCATTGTTGATGTAAACGCGTTGAATTATTGAATAAATAAACGCGTCGGGTTAAACGTACGATCTGGGCCAGAGCGGTGGCATTGCCGGTCCCGGCGTATCAAATGGATCGATGATTTGTAAATTTTTCCGGTTGCCGGTTGCCGTGGTGTCAACCTGCAGGCCGAGGTTGTCGCTGCCAGCCATGCCTCAACCGTTACTTGACAGGGCGACGAATGCGAATTGCCACCAGCCGAAACCCAGGACATCCTTGTACTTCCGACAAATATAAATTCCTTGTTGCAACGTGCACTAAAATACGTGAATGGTTTCACATCACTTCACACAACAGATAGTATATGTGCTGTAGCAATATTAATACCTACGAGTACATGTTGATGGAGTCTATTTAAATCGAATCTACTTCGTGGAAATCGTGTGTTGTACTTCAGTGTTGTAAATATCAGATGCAGATACTCTTGATTTGAATTGGATGAGCTAGTTTAAGCGCTAGTTTAAAAGAGGAAAAAATTGATTGGAGGTTTATTGAATATTTTACATGTAGAGATTTTTATGAGAGTGACAGCAATTATTGGGTCGTTTTGTTTTTGTAACTATTTTGCTCCAAATAAGTGGCACCCAAAGTCGGTACAACATGGAAAATAATTGGAATGTTGCCATATGAACAACAATCAGCATGGCACAAAGCTACAAAGAGTAATTACAATTTTGTAGTGCAACTGCGGCAACATGATTAAAATAACACACCATGTGTTTCAAATGCAAGTTTTAAGCAACAACATCTGAATGCGAAAAGTTTAGTAAAACTTTAAATATTTTAACACAAGTAATTATTATTTGGAATATAATAATAAATAAATCTGTGTTTCCTTTTACAAAGCAGATACCGGAAATCAGTTTTAATGATTATTTGCATTTGAATTGAATCTGCTTCCTATTTAACTTTAAATTTGTTTATTCAAGCATTTCTACTTGTATTTGTACACGAGTTGCTTGATCAGGGAGAATTACGTAAAACGAAAAATACTAGTTAATTAGAGGCGTTAGGCGGCATAATTCCGATATCAAACAGGATCAACACCGGCGTCGTGCAATTATTAATTACACGCCGAATTATGAACAGCTTGATTTATACGTTCGTTAATTAATTTGTAATCTGCGAAAATACAAGCATTCATTGCCGGTGGGAACCAAATATTGTATTAGTCACAATAAGTCATTAACCTGATAAAAGGAAGTCAAGATTATACCCAAAAATAAAATAAATCTATATTTAACTAATAATCTGTTTTGTTTTCAGGATATTTTTGGCAAATCACAGATCTTCATTTTGAGCCACACTTTTCTATCAATGGTGATCCACGTAAAGGTTAGTATTGCCAAATTTGATCTGTAAGATAGTGCTAATCTTAATCTAATCAGATTGGGACATGTAAACAGGTTGTGTGATGTTCTTGAGTGGTTCTAGTGTAGATGCCTAACCAAATTTCCGGTCGGCTGTGCTTAATTTGGTTGTTATTGATGGCTACAGTTATAATTACGATGTGTCCAAGCATACGTCGTTCGACTTAATTGACAGTTAATTGATTATGGACTTGTGTTGAGTTACAAATGACCATTTAGTCGGTGATAATAATTTCAAGACATACAATGGATATTTTTGTAATGGTGAAAAGTATATTGAAGTGGAAGACATCCTGTAATAGGTGTTTTTCTAAGATGGCGATTTTCAAAGACATTTACCATTTGGCAAAACAAATTGGCACGACATGCCATCGCGATTTCAAGTTCTAGCGTCGCAACAATTGATCCATTATCGCGCACAATTTGCGAGCGAAGAATTTCAACGAGCTGCACATCGTCCCCGCCGACAATTGATTTCCCACGTCCCAACGCCTCTACTGCCGCGCTCGTTTCCTGTTTCACGTCGGCACTGAGCGCTTTTTCTTGTTTCATGCAGCTTGTTTCGTGTTGCGTTGCAAAGTCGAACTCGCAAATGAGTAGTCGGGCACTCGAGCGGCACTCAAAAATGTATTAAGCGTAGAGTTTAGGTGCCCATTTTTTATTCGTGCCGCTTCCGCGCTGACGATTGTGAAACGTCTTTTTTGGGGCGCGCGCAGGAGGAGAGTAACGTGTCGCTTTGGAGGAGAATAAAAGATCGCCGGGAATTGCGCGCCAGCCAGGACAAATGGCACACTAAAGCTATTCCGCCGTAATAACATTGAAAAATGTTTCGACAAATGGTTCGATGCGTGCGGAAGCGTTTTCCCTTGGCGCGATGAGAAGAGAAATGCACAAATGTGTTCTTTCGTATTCCCAAGTCTACTAAATTCACATTTCGCAACACAAGTTTGTACGAAATATAAATAGCTTTGGTAATAATCTAACCTGTTGAGTTACAAGCATATTTTTAGCTATCATATGCTGTGATCTTTGACAGGCTAAAAGAAAGACAAGATTTATTAATTTCCTGTTGTCACCCGCAAAACTTTTGTCATAGTTGGAATTCAATGCGAATTGTAAATTCCACATTCGAGTTTCCAGGTTGATTCTACTCTATAGGGTGTTGTAAACTTCAAATCCCAATGGATCTGGGGAATATCCACAGGACATTAGAAGATTCTGAGTTTAACTCTTTACATTCGAGTGCGAGGAAAAGTTTTCAAACTTCCTGTGCCACGCGACAGTTGGTCGGAACGGAACTCGCTAGAGAAGAGAGAGTAGAACACAATGCGCCAACGCAAACAGAGGCTGTTATTGCACCGCGCAAATATGTAGTTTGTTTGCGAATACGGCGACATTTCTACGCCATACAGAAGTAAGCCGAACTGAACAGAGCCAAACATTATCCAGAGAGCCAGCCAAACGCCAACATACTTATACTCAGAGCTATAGTTGTACATATAGTTATATCCATAGATTTTCTCAGTCTCCCATTTTCTCAGTTCCTCGTATATTTCCAACCATAAATTTCGTATTGATATTGGGATTGGGATTCGTTCGACTGCGTTGGTGGTTCGTGTTTGTGTTTGGCGCGGAGAGGAAATGATTCTCCGAGCTCCTCTCTTTGGTCTGTGCGAGTTGGACGCAAGCGTTTAATGGTACTTGCCGAAGAAGAAGAAGGCCGCAAACCAGTAAACCGGCAGCGCCCAACTTAGTTTGTTCGATGACATTAATTATAAGTTATCAGACATCGGGCGCACGGCTTTCGAAGCTGACCACTGAGACGACGCGCAATGAAATCTCAGAAAGAGTTGACTAAAATATACCACCGATAAAATATTTTCTTTTGCAAAATTAAAACTTTTATCAAAATATAGATTTTGGTTTTAAAAATACGCCAGAAACTTTAATTTACTGATGAAAGTATAAAAATATTTTTTTTGTTATTGCATTAAAATATAAATATTTAATTTGATTTTTGTTATTAAAACTTTTTTCAGTTGTAAATTATTTCAAAACATGTTCTGGTTATTTTGAGTTATATAAAATCAACAAACAACTGCAACAAAAATTGTACAAAAAATAATAAACATTTTTCCTTTTTTGGTTTTGATTAATTTTCCTTTTTTTCATTTCAATGCAACCTTTCTTTTTTGCGAATGTTGATTTGCAAAAACTGTCGCGTGAAATAAACTCACCTCCGAATGTCAGCGAGTCCAAAATTACCAGCCCTTTTTGCTAGTCAATTTTGATGTGTCAACGCCTAAAGTGATTACGTCCGTGTCCGTGCGAAGCGCACGTGACACAAATAGTAATTACATAATTTCAAATCGAATTTGCGGCTGGAATAATAAATAACATTTACGAATAGACTCAGGTTCCGCCGCAGGCCTGGAAATTGGAATAAATATCGTTCCAGGAAGGTGAGCACCGCGATCGACAGCGGATCGACAGCATTGGCCGGAACTCGGGGATGGGAAAATTGGCGTTACTTAGTTTTTGGCCGAAACCTTGGGGAAATTGAAAGTGCGTCGACGGATGATTATCCTGCACGCACCGAAACGTGATGTCAACTAACAAAATTTGCGGACAGTGTTGAATAGAATCAAATATAGGCGAAAAAAAAAACAATTTTCATTCAACACTTTTTTCTTTGGTTTTTTTAAGTGTGATCGGAACCCTGAAAACCCACAACACGAAAACAAACGTTGGCAGTTTTTCCAGAGCGGCAATAAATTCGAACGATTGAATAATTTTCGGTACGGAAACCCGCAAAACCAGGAAACCGGAAAATTTGAAGTGACGAACACGCGTCTTGACAGTACTCTCAGTTTAAGTGTCTGTACCCTCCACATATACAATGTTTGAAACAAACAAACCTTTCGTAGATTTTATAGGGACATTGTTCCTTTTAGATTATTTTTCACAAACCCTCTGTATAAGGAAAGCATTAAAGGGTGGACTAGTAGGTCTTAGACCTTTTTGAGGTTCTTTTCGTTGTGGCACCCTTTTCGCCGCAATTGGTTTTGTTTGTTTCGCGCGCACTTTTTGTGTGCGGTTGTTTTTTGGCTTCCTTTTTATTTCTTACGCACCGTCACATCGAGGACGAATGGCGACGAGGATTGGCAGGCGGACAAAAAACGCATGAAAACAAATTGCGAGTTTTTGTTAAACCTTTCGGCGGTTTTGGGGTTGGGCGTTTATCCCGTTAACCAAGATATGGAGACGACAGAAGCATCACAAGAAAATCAAGACAATGCGCACGGAATATTGTGGTTTACTCATTAAGATAAATTTAAAATAATAATAATATAAAATATTGAACAAAATATGCAAAAGTAATTCATTTAGAGAAAATTGCATCGAATATATTCAATTTATTTGTTTATTGGAGGTGATTAACAGTTGTCAATCATTTAAACCGTTTACTAACTTTACCCGGCGCTTCTACAATTCCACTTTAATTAAAAAATTAAATTAAAACTGTTACCATACACAAATTACTTGTTGTTTTTAACTTTTTGCTAATTTTCTGTTTTCTTTCCTCTAACACTATTTTTATTCTGGATAACAAGATTCTCTCATGTGTAATCATGTATAATAGTGGTTGCTGATGTCTGTCGAGAGTGTCCTTTGCCAGTGTAGGCTGACACGAGCAATTTCAGTTTTGATGATCGCAATTTAACAATTTAACAACGTGGTACACAAGTTTGAATCCCGCGAGTCTTGCCATCATCCACCCTGCCCTTGCGTCATTTCCAAAGCATATAGGTGTGAGTTATTGCGTTGGTGGTGTTGGGCGCTAGGCAAATTGCATCTGCATGCATCAACGTGCGTTTATTTATGTAAATTTAGTAAAATACTCATGTCGGCGGTCGCTCGGCTTATATTTGTCACAAAAGTGCGCGCGCTTAATCAATCATTTCGATTGCTCGTCGTGCATCCCCAGCTCTACAATGCATTCGACAAATGCAATTACTGCCGCCGACTGGGGTCAGATAGGTTCGCCGGTGTGTTTTTTTTATTACGTGTTTTATTTTCATTCAAATAAACATCAATTTTGAGCGATGCGACAATTTATTTTTGCGGAATCAACTTGAAATTCGACGGAAAACGGACAGTTTGTGGATTGTTTCGGACGAAGTGATTTTGTTACAAAATAAATTTATATTTTTCACTACAATGTATCACGTGAAATATTTTTTAAATTAAATACATTATAATGTTGTTTTATATTTATTTTGAATAAATAACTACCTTTTTATCTTGGGGTATGGGTGCTTTTAGAATCAGGTCTGTAAAGTCTAATCCAATGTCGCAAGAACTTTATTTTATGCGCGCCCATCAAATTAAAACCGACCTCGCTCTTATCGAAGTTTCCCACTCATCGAAAATGCATCGATTCGAAGCGACGAGCTTTCATCCTCACATGCAAAAAGTGCAAAGAGTGTGCCAAGTTTATGAGATGTGAAAGGCGTTATTAATTTGTTTTAATATATCGCTCCGTCGTGTAGGGTTATGAAAAAGGCGAATGGCACAACGAGCTTTTCCCAGATCCAAACGAGCTTCCAAGTATTGCATTAACGTAGAGGCCGTAGAGGACCAAATGGTGCTTTTTACGATTATGGGTACTTCATTACTATTAAATAAATTATTAGTATTAAATAAACATAAAATTTATAAAAATATATGAATAATAAATGATATGCTCAAAGCAATGCATTAAAATTACTTACATCATTTGTCAACAAGTTTGCAATTTAACAAAAAATAAAAAATAAATAAACATTGCTTACATTTATTAATTATATTTTTTGCTACTTATGTTATTTTGCATGGTGACTTTACCAGAGTACATTCCCAGGCTTGTTACTTTCTGTTCATGTTTGAAATCGCCCAGACGTGTTTATTCATGCGCGCATGGTTCAAACACGACGTAAGCAAACTTGACGAAGTCTTGGCGCTCTTTTAAGAAGCGAAGAGACTTTTTACGCAATATTTATTTAGCATTTCTTTATAAATACCACGCAAAAATATCATACACATCATAACAATTTTATGTATTAGACCGCAATACTTATATTCATAAAATTATTTATTAATGCTTGAAATAAAACAAAAAATAAGAATTTCCCAATTTGTATACAAGAATAATCTGTTGCGTGGAGCACACATCGACCGAATATAAAGTTGTCAGGTATTTTTTGTAGTTTATAATTTTGCACGAGTTTCTGGGTTAGTTTGCAGGTCAGTGAATTTGGTGCGCTGTGCCGCGTAAGCGGAAAACTTTAATAATGAAAATTTATTATACAAATAAATCCGGTGTGCGCGGCCCGATGGGCGAACTCATTAGCATGCTGCGGCCACCTATTTTAAACCAATAGAAAATTTACAATTTAAATACGAATCTAATTAAATGAATATTCAACTCGTTTGCTGTGTTTTACTCAACTAAGCCACAAGCCTATTTGCCAAGCAGTTTTAAAAGATTGTAGGTAATATTAAATCAAACTTGATATTAGTATAATATTTATTTTTCCGGAAATAATAAATTGGAAATTTTGTATTATACGTAACACAATGTATATTAAAATTAATCAAGATGGATATTTCTTGATATTACTTCTTAAGACTGTAGATTTTGGTCTTAAATGGAACAAGCCTGTCAGGTGCTTACCGAACTGATTCGATTCTGAGCGTACTAATCAGACGTTCACCTCCTTTCTCCCTTCGGTTACCATTCAGAATCAACGTGAGTCCTTGCTTTGGATATTAGATTTCAGTCACGTTCCTAACTACCTTCTTTCGTTGCACCATGAGAAACGTGCATCTCGTACTTCTTGCCCTCACTATCCTTTCTTTTTTTACTTGGGGATCTTCAACTGAGCTTTTCGATCTTACAATAATACATACCAAATGCCAAGTGCCAAGAAATAGCCAAAAAGGAGTAAGACAAGCAAAAACACATTAAGCAACAAAAAAAATATATGAGAGCGGAAAAAGTACAAAAAGTGCACAAAATCTTCGAATTTACGTCGTTTTAAATAGACTTTTGGGTGCTTATCCAACGACTCGCACGTTGCATAAGAATCACCTCAAGCGTGAAGTAAAATAGACAAAATGCAAGAAAAACACTAGCAACATGAGCGACTGGAAGATGAGAGAGCTATAAACGCCATTTTCTATTTAGATGCAAATTTCGGCGACGGTGCATGTCGTCACTAACGTGCTGCACGAGTTAATGACGCTTTACAAAAGTGGCTCCACCTCTAGGTGGCTAGCGTTCAATGTCATGGGCCATTAGCACCAACGATAACGAATTGCATCGTGAATACAAGCTTTTAGAGATTTACTACTTTTTCTACAAATAAATAATTATCTTGAGTTACGTTTTTTGACACCTCAAAAAAGTAAATTACCCAACTACGTATAATTACATTATCTGTAACAATTAGATCGAATAAGGTGACTTGAGAAGCCATATTAGGTGGAAACATTACCGTGAAAGAGGAGACGCCGTGAGGCGGAAGACATCTCGCCACATTACGTCACTAATTTTGTGCGAACTATTTCCGTGTTGATCGCAAACGCTTTGGTTTCGCAGCTAATTAAATTTGATGACGCGTAAACGATGTGTTCTTGATGAAAGTTCGACGCGAATCAACAAACTGCATTTAACTTGAAATAGTTTGCTAGATTCTCGAAGATTTGTAATTTATATTACACCCACACATTATTGACTTTAATCCAATTTGGTTTTAAAGTTTAAAAATAAATTTTACATTTATATTTATAAACTGGGTGTCAAACTTTTATAAATATTTAATTTATGAATTATATATTTTTAGTATTTATTATTGCATCGGAAATAATAATTACTTTCCGCTTTTAAATCCATTTTTTACTGTTAAAACATTAAACATTAAATGTCATAAATACTTGTTAATATCTATGGCAAAACAGCAAGCTATTAATTACGCGTAATGGATTGTGGAGAATGTCCTCTGACACGTATAGTAAACGATTTAAAATAAATTGCCAACCAGAGTGTGACACGATAAAAATCTTTTTTATGTCACGCAGTATTCCATCAATAATAATATCTTCAATAATTCAAAAATAATTAATATCGGTTAGTGACATTTGCTTTGATGGCAGCATGATGACGATACTTGCGGTATATTCTCGTTTTTATTCGAAGCGACAGAAAGAGAATGAAAAATCACACATTAATATCACACCGTTTCTTGTGCTTTTCCTTTCTCTGCAGCCTTGCGGTTTGTTTCAAAAATAATCACAGCTGAATTTATTATACGCGCGTTTTTTCACAAAGTAGCGAGGTTATTTCCATTCCGCATTATTTAATTAAGCTTTGAATACCGACGCCGCGCTCGCATTTATTATGCTTGTAAGCTTGACCTAAAGTAATTATATTGAAATTCTTGAAAAAAGAAAGAAAGCTTATGCCCGAGGAAGAAAAACGCAGGTTATTCAGAAAATGCCAAGAAAAATGAAACTGAAAATAAACTTCAATGCTATGTTACTGGCGATATGGAAGCAGTGCGCCCAGAGGTTAAGGGTGGTTTTTGTTGCCGGCGCGCGTTTCTGCTTTAATTCGTTGCGTGCCGCGGGCTTTTGTGCGCTGAGGCAATTTCATTAAGTAATTATCTTATAATAAATTGTTGCTTTCCTACGGCGTATGAGCCGTAGTAGAATTACGCTTTCATTTCAGGTTTTACCGATAACTAACTAAGCAAACTATGGGGAAAATAAAATATAAAAATTCCGTAAAAAATTTGAAAACATGCTGCAACTTCATAACTAGGGTAGTTTTTTAATTTTAGTTTTATTATGCTATATAAAAACTAATAAAAACCACAAGTACATTATCAGTTAATTAATTTTTGGATAAATTTACTACGTTCTAATGATTGTTTTTAATTTTTGGAAATTACTATTTTAATTCTGTTTGTATTACAGGATGTGTGCGACCAGACAATGATGGTGGCTCTCGATCAAGTAGGAAACCCGCAGGAAGGTTCGGTGACTACTCTTGCGACGCTCCATGGGCTTTAATTAAATCTGCAGCGGAAACAATGTACTCTCGACAGGGCGATAATGTGGAATTTGTTTTATGGACAGGGTATGTTAATATTTTTCACTAAAATTTTTGTTTAAATTGCTTCTGAACTGCTTTGAACTGCAAATGTTTCTTTACGAATACAGGATTTATGCAACCCGTATTTAATGAGCTTACACGATTTCCGTTTGCTGGTTGTATGCATTCGGTCATGCGTCGGCACATTTGGCATCGTTCGTCTCTTTGCATTGCCGCCACTCTTTGCTGGTTCAATTCAAACCGGCGCTGGTTTAGTTGAGTTCAGCTGTTTCTGGTGCGAGGTCACACTGAATTTACTTCCATTTCAATTGCTAGTCCTAGAACTAAACCATCACATTGCTACTATTTAATACTTGTACGTATATAACACATATGTGCGTTTGATGTTGTATTGGTGAGCGCATGATTAAAATGCATTCCGACAAAACGTTTACTTGATTTATACGGGCGGTTCGTGCGCGGCACGTTTCTGCTTATATTTGAAATTTTGAAATTGCGAATTTCGAGCTCCAGCGCCATGTCGGTACATATTTGAAAGATGCAAATTCCCATTACACCGTGCAACCATGCACCAAACACACACGCACGTATTAGCTGTGTTTACGTTGGAATCAGAGGCATCAAAGCGTTTCATACGAAATTCTCAAAATATGTAATCAGCGTCCACAATTGTCACGCGATTAATTATTGTGCAGAATTTATCGAACTAAATATTAAATATTTTTATTGGATGAATGGATTTTAGAATTTAATATTAAAATTGAATAGTTTTTTTTGTTAGTTTATAACTTTGGAAATATTTTATACGTAGGTACAGACATTTCATTTCCTGTCGTGGTTTTACGCGTGCGGTGAACGCTCAAAAGATTCAATTCGATATTAAAAATTATCAATTTACCAGAATCTGATTTCGCTCCGGGTGCAAACCATTTCTCTTGTTTGGTTTTCTTTGGTCGGATCTCGTCTGGATCAGACTGCATTTCCGGATGCAGTTCAGTCGGCGGAAAAGTTGGAACTTTATAGGATGCATTCTACACATCCATCAAAATTTACCAATACAAATTTTATTATTAAATTACCGAATTCAATTTAAAATAACATTTTTATTAAAATTGTATCAAAAAAATTACTTAACAAGAGATTCTTTTCAAGTTTTCATTCAAATTTGTCCTTTTTGTGCTTGTAAATACTGATAGACAGGTACAAATGTACGAACAATAAAATGATTGTAAACAGATGTTTTGCATGTACGTTGCGTTCGATTTGTTTCCCCTTAGTTGTTCGCTAGTGGTCGACAACAATTCGATTCGATTTCGTGCGTTGTTTCGCGTTTCACGTTCGTGCAACGATGTTTTGTCAGGCGACGAACCGATAAATGGCAGCCGCTAGCAGGTCCGCCCGCTCGAAATTTGATTTGATTGGAAAATTATGATTGAAACCCGCCGAAGGATGGAGGTTCTGAACAGGAGCAATTTGACGGACATATTTCTCTCCCCCGCATGCCGCACGATTTCAGGAAGCGCTCGCACGCACATTCTCTTACAGCGCTCCTTGAGTGCCGATAAAATTCGACATCCGATAGGATATTCGATACACGAGATATGCTTTTATGAGCATTTTTTCGTCTAGTTTTATTGCCCTTCGATATTGCTCAATATATTGGCATACCAGCAGCCGATGAGCCTGGTGAAGGGCTATTCTAGCTATAGACAATGGTAATTGTAGTAAAAGTTACATGCGTGTAAATCGAGGCGGAAAATTGTCAGGAAATCGGACACGACTGCAGGAGAGGAAGGTAAAGGTCCGAACACGGTCCGCGGAAAGGGCGCGCGCTGTCAAGGGGTTGTAAACGGAAAGGTTATACTGACTCAACACATTTGGGAATGTGTGTCATGCGTGCGCCAGCCAACATCGTAAAATTTTATGTTTAACTTGCACTTATAAAAATATTAGCTTATATTAATATAATAAAACCATTCTGAAGAGGAAAAATAAATGAAATAAGTTTTACATCTGGAGGTAAATGCTAGTAAATACATTTATTTTCAAAACTTGAACCATTTCTCACTACTTGCAGTTATTTGCGTGTTTTTGGTTCGCATTTAAATTTTCCGAACAGTTAGAAATTGGATTTTCAATGTTTTACCAAAGTACGCGATGCACGTTTTTCTTTAAATTTAAGCACGTCCTTGTGCGCTCCTCCCAAATTACACTAACTTTGATGATCCATGTGAAAAACTTTTGCGAGCGTCGTTGTGTCGCAGTGCCGCCGTCGTTCAAACTTTCTTTCATACTTTAATTTGCAGCGTAAAAAACTACAACCAAAAATAAACAACTTGACGGAAAACAGAAACTCGTCTCGGCAAGAAACAAAACCAAACCGTGCAAACTAAAATACGGAAGACACGAAACAAAAGACACAAGTGATTTTTTACCACGACAAAAGTTTGAATGTGTGTGATGCGTTGGTTTTATTTTTTCTTGTTGTTGAGTGGTGTGGTTTTGTTAGTTCTGTTTTAGTTTTCTGTTGGCAGGACAAAAAGTGAAATATATTTCGTTCATTAATCTAATGCGTTAGTGTGTGCGCGTAAGTGATGCGCCGGATTCCGGTTGCCATCTATTTATTCGCCGCCTCCAACAGTGCCGACATCACCAGCGCGACCAAAACCGCCTGGTGGAACCAGAACCAAAACGGACAGAACATTTAACCGGATTTGATGTCGAGCGATGATAAGTTGACGCACGCCCGGTGAAATATTAATCTGGTTTGCTAGAGGAATACTTCTACGAGTACTCCTTGAAACAAAACAATTAAATCTACACAACTCCAGAAATTAATCACATTAGTTGGGTAAAGAGTAGCTGTACACATATCGTGTGTCATAGACACACAATGTTGGATTTAAACCTGTTAGAAAAGACTATTTGAAGTAAAAATGGTGAAATGGTTTGAAAATATAAGTTATAACTTAAATAACCTTAAAATCAACATAAGTAATAATTTAATATGTAAATAAAATGTAATGATATATTAATTATGTTTGTCCAGTGCATGTTTATTCTATTTACCAAACTGCTAACAATGCGTTCGTGTATATTTGTACAAATTACAACGCGATAATTTTTCCTCATTTCCCACATAAATAATTTGCTCGTTTTTCATTTACCGCGTCTGGGTGTATATTTTTTACCTCATTTTCATTAAATATTTATTTACTTTCGTGCCGACTTTGAGTTGCATGCGACCACTTGCACAACTAGGTCACTATCAACTCTTGCACAACACGAACGCCCATAATTAACCGTCTAATTTCTAATCGATTTGCGATCGCTCATTTTCCAACCTGCTACTTACCTACTCGTATAATATTTATAAAATTGTAATATTTTAATATTTTCCAAATGTGTTTAATAATTTTTTGTAACCATAATTAATGATCTAATTTATTTGAAAAAACAAAGACATATTGTAAAACTCGTAAGGCGAACAGATAATAACGCTCGTCGGACGATTTTTCTTCGTTTGTAAGGGAGTAGGATGACTATCCTCGTTTTTCACGTTTTTCTTCCTTGCTAACTTGCCGTAAGGTGATATAAATGCCTTTCTCGCCCCAGCGGGCGACGCAAAATATTTGTTCCGCATGCAACGTTTCAACTTTTGGTCAGATATAAACTTTGTTTTGTGCGAAAACTTTTTTTATTGTTGCGTCGCCCGAACACGCCTCGACTCGTGGCCAGCTTTTTTCAGAAAACTCACCAGGACTCGTCGACATACCTACCCTCAACCAGAACTCAAACTCTTTCCGCACTTGGATTACTTCTATCCGAAAATATGGTCAAGGGTGGCATTCACCCACATTCATAACCCACGCGATTGGATTTTGGTTGGTTTTTATTAGGTTGAGATTTTTTGTTGCACGCAGCTCAGTGCGGGAATGGATAATTGATTTTTCAGTCGACGTTTTAAACACATTCCTGACGGACGCAGCCTGCATCCAGACATTGCGGACAGGCGCAAAAAAGCAAAACACAACTGCAAAAAACACCAGGGTGCGGGTATGGGGAAGAATTTGCAAAATGTACGCTGCCGTATCAATCTCGCGTTTTGCGCCCGAGAGTGTTACATTGACATGTTACACGCTGAAATGTAAAAAAAGGAGAAATGTGCAAAAACACAGAATAAAACAACACCAGCGCGGAATAAATTTAAGAGAGTAGATAAAAAAACAAATGACATTTTCACTGTTAACTTGATTCTCACGATTCCTCACATTGCAAAGCATCAAAAAATAAAATTTGAAAAGAAAAGAAAAATTCATCATCAAAATAAATAAAATATAAAGTTTTAAGTTTATTGGAGATCTGGAACGTGCACATTATATCTACTGATGCGTCATGCGCGCGAGGTATCCCGAAATTGAATATTCGTCGCCCGTGGGACGTCAGATATCCCGGACGTGATGACCACGACCACGTCCGCCTCCCTCAGCACTCCAGCGTCGTCGCTGGGCATTTGATTTCATTACCGACACCGTGCACCAGAAATGTTAGAACGCTCGCCAATAAAACAACAAGAGTAACATACCGAGAAAGGAGCAAATGGACATTGAAGCACAAGAATATTGATGCATGTGCAACTAACACCTGATCATAGTGTATTATACCATATTTCACATCTTGTGCAAGTAAAGATATGTCCTGTTTGTTACACTTCACTACCTCTTTACACAACTTTTTTTTCTTCGTCATATTGGTTTGTATTTTGCCTGAAGTTGGGTGTCGTTTTTATTTTGCATTCACGCGTAAGTCGATGACGTTTTATTTTGTCGATAGTCGGCGTTAGCGTTAGCGTTAGCGGAGTTTAGAACGGCAAGGGTGGTATGCACGTTTGAAAAGGCTGGCAAGCGCCATAACATGCACACCACCGCGCGCAGATTAAATCTATTTTGTGTGCGAGTTGCCGCGCGCCGAACCGTACGCGAAGCAAGAATACAGGACTTTTTATTACGGTCGTCCTGAAATACAATCCTGATTTTACGGCCAGATACCAATCATACTCGGGCTTTTAATCGACTAGCAAAAATATATGTGGATACTGTAAAATATGGAAGAGAAAATAAACAAAATCGTTTGTTTGAGAAGAAAAAGTCACTAAAAAGAATATTGAACTAAAACTGTAAAAATTTAATTTTTGGTACGATAATGTTTTCAAAATTTTTGGAGCTACCTGAAGAGAACATTTTCCCATTCAGGTACGATCTGTTTAATGGCTATAACATTTGCATCGGTTTACAAAACGACCCATCTCGTTTCTCTTTCGGAAACGTGCGCGCTGACCAATTACGCGGAACAAAACTAATTTTACGTTTGCCATGCATACAGGATGTTCAATAACTTAAAATAATCCCTAATTTAAAATTGGAAATAAACGCTGCTTTGTGTTACGGCAAAAACACTTTGTATCTAATAAAACGTACGATCATGGGTGGACAACATACTCTATTGGGGTTTCAAGAATCGCGGATTTGGGATTACAACAAATGCAATTCGAGGTTAAATTAATGCTTGTTAGGCTCTTAACTTTCACGTAAACTGCTAATAAATACGCATACGCAAACTTATAATTGTGTCTCGCATTGCAAATGGTGGAATAGAGAAACCGCTGGCAAGTAAACAGAGAATACTATCTATTGATGAGGATCTGGTTTTGGTTTTGGATTTATTTTCATAATTGGAATATTTACATTTTCCTGCGAGTTATTAAAATTATAAACAAATATTTAAAATATATAATATATTTTGTTTTTATGTTGAATTGTATACGGAAACGAGTGCAAAAAATTCATTTTGTGCACTAAAAAAGGTGTAAAAGAGCTTCTTTTATTAGTATTATATTTATACTAGTATATACGAATAATTTCTTATATATTTTTTTCGATAGAGGTGAAAATATGCATAGTGTGCAGTCAGCAGAAACGACGACGATTTTCGTAAGCATATGGTCACGAAGCTTATGCTAAGAGACATTGTTAGGAGATGCAAAACACCAGAAGCGAAGCAAAATCAACTGCAAAATACGCTGCAAAATGTTGAACTAAATGTAATGCAGATTCAAGTGTTACGACAAGCGAAAACTTGCTGATCTGTATAAGCACAATTTTGCACAAAGCTGTCAAGTAGCTTCAAAAGCTCATTTAATCAACTAAACAGCTCAAAATAGGAACGTAAATTTTACTTAAAGCTCGTTAAAAATGCATTTCTATAAATTTTATAGTTTAAAGCCGTAAAAATATTCCACGCTTATCAATTCCGATAAAAACCCGAAAAAAACTCTCTGCATTTCAACAATTTTCATTGCTTTAAAAGATATTGTTAGACTTTTCTGAACGCAAAATTTCTGGCGGATTTTCCGCGGCCCAGGCTCTAATTCAATTTTTATTAAAATTAAACCCGACGCGTACCGGCAATAAAATACTAGATTAAATCCGTGCGACTCCGTCGTCCTGCATGCATTCGAGCAAATGGTTGGGGGGTGGCGGCAGGATCGTTCGTCGCGAAAGGTTTTTATTACGTTTTTGCGTACGCACAACGGGATTAACCGACTCGAAAATCCCACTAACTCATGCGCGTTACATTACGGTGCCGTTGCGTCAGGTTACATTACATTGATATTGTTTTGCGTTCGTTTTAGTCCGCTGGAGTTTTTAGTGTTTTTTCCTGCTGTCCGTTAAAGTCCTTTTTTAAACCGTCGTCATGCAAACCAAATCGTTTCGCTTGAAAGCTGCGTATTAAAAACAAAAACCCCCAAACCAGGATTTTGAGAAAAAACTGATAATTGCTTAAAATAAGAATGTGTAACACGCTGTATAATTTTGATCACCAGTTTAAAGAGCACATAACATGTAAATCGAGGAAAGATTTAAGGTCGACAGATGGTCAAGTCGAAATAAATCTTGGCCTTTCTATGGTCGCTCGTCCATTCTCCCGGCGCCTCCGCCACACGCCGCCGCAGTAAAAGCTTCCAACCGAAATAAGTTTCGAAGTAATCTTTACGCCAGCCGACAAGGGCCGAACTATTATTTACTTATTCGCAATCATTAATCGTCGTCTTTAGCTTCTCGCAATTTATATGCACGTTTTTGCTGCGAAGCGAAGCTGGGTTTTTCTTCTTCTTTTTTGTCAGATTCTGCAGAAGGAATGAGCTGTTCGCGACGGGCGACGAGCGACGAATAAAGCAATCCAATGAATAAACGAATGAATGGACGAGTGAGTGGCTGGATGTGAATTGTCGTCGTACGAAAAATTGAGCGAATTGAAAGAACGGTTTTGCGCTTCAATTATCTTCAAGTTGTTTTTTTCGCAGCGCCTAGCAAGCACATCAATAAAAAGCAAATGATTTTATCTAAATTAAAATTCTACGATTGTTTTAAACAATTTACTTCATAAAAAGATAAAATTATATCCATGTATGTGTGTGTTTGAGTGTTTACCTATTTCGTGGAAGCAGAGACGAAATAGTTCTTGACGAAAAACCGTCGCACGAAAAGAAAAGAGCAATTTTCTTAATGCAGCTATAAAATTTATATGGGACAGAATAGAAGTAATAATGTTAAAAGCATTCAATTATTTACCTTTTTCACAAATGAGAACTTATTATCAAAGCACTTCATCGCAGCAAGGAATATTTTTGGGATAACGCTGAATAAATTTAAATAATTTTGTGAAATTGTAAAAACAAATATTTTCTGTTTCAGGGATGCCTTGTCACATTCAGCTCGACGGTCATCTGAAATACAACAATTGGAGCTTTTGCAAAATCTGACAGATTTGCTGGCGCAAACATTCAGCTCACAGTTCATATTCCCAGCGCTAGGACATGACGATCCTTTAGCTAGGAAAGAATTAGGACGAATGTGGATTAGATGGTTACCTACTGACTCAATAACAACTTTTGATTCAGGTAAGTCTTTTCGAATTTAATAATTAACTGATTTGGATATTGTTTATTATATAGTCTGACAAACACATTTTACGACGTTTTTAGTTATTTGCGTCAAAGGAAAAGAAAAAAGTTAAGCTTACGCTTAGGTGTACGGCATCTGTCTGCCATATTTATGTCGGAATTTGTAGAAGTAATAACACTCAGTTTTACGACGCGCGCGCAATAAATTCACCTCGAAGATGAAATGCCATACGTCGGAAATATTATTTAAATTTTAGTCCCGGGCTCGGTTAGCTTTACTTCTACTTCGTCCTGCCTCGTGCTTTCTTTTTTGCTCGTTTGTGTCGTTCATGTCTGACTTGACGTATTCTATAAAAATACGTGCGCAAATTTTTAAGTTTTATTAAAAACGATGACATGATCTGCGTTCCAAGTGAACCTAGTTTACTGTAATATAAGAAAAATTCATTAAAAACATCAACGATATTATATGTTTTAAATATAAACATTATTTTAAGTACAACACACGCCAGTTTTGTAGTTTGTTTATTTTCGTCGTTGTGTTTTATTTATACGGAAGAATTTTAGATGTTCCCAACTAAAGTTTGTAACATGTTTAAACATGAGTAACTTGAGAAGCTCGAAGCATGTCGACGCGCTGGTGGCGCAACTTGAAACCGGTTAAAATATTGTGAAAATTGTTTGTAAATTCAGCAACGTAATTTGGCGCAACGCTCGCCGGCTGCTCGTTGGTGGATACATTTGATACTAATTTACTCCTCCCTGGAGTGGATAGAATTCCAGCGCTTCGAGCAGCCACACCGAAACATTTGTCCCACGAAACCGTCAATTTCGTAAGTGATCATTTGCTTAGTTTGCGCACACACTGCATCGTTTAAACTTTATTGAAGACATACGAACTGTTTTACTAGGTGTTTTGCAAAAGACAAATCTACGAAATGTACAAAACTGACAATTCAATAAATAAATATTTGCTTTATATTAATTCAATATTTTATCAACCTTCTTTTTTTCAATGAAACGGTGTGGTAAAGAATGGTATAAATGTTTAGCAGAGTTGTCTGGTTGTCGCGGTTGTCTCGCTAGTGTGCATCAAATGCAATTTCATTTCGTGGCCTGCATCGCGTCGGTGGCACATTACTCGTTAATGGATTGGATTTCGAACGGCTTGAGCGGAACGCCGCCCGAACGAAGAAAATTGCTAGTGACGACTGCGCATCCGTGTTCACTTCCAGTCTCGGAGTTCTGGTTCTAGTTTTACATTGCTTCAAATGACATGATTGTCTCCTACTTGCCAACTGCCCTAAACAAACCTGAACGCACATACGTATACATTATTTCTGTTTAGTATATAACATAATTTATTTTAAAAGATTTATATTTTGTTTCTTTAAATTTATTTTAGTTTGCAACAAAATATTTACGTTTATGTTGCGCATTCGGCAAATTACGCGTTTGCAAGTTGTAAAAGTTTGCGCTCGTTTTCTCAAATTGTTCTTATGCGCGCAACGAAGATTAATTGCAAAAAGTACAGTTCATTTGTGCGCTGCTCGTCTAGCCGCTTGCGGCGCCTCCACTTCCCCAGCTACGAGTTTGAGTAAAAGTTGAGCGGAAAAAACAAGAGATACGCGCGCGCAAAGATGAATTGGTTTTGGTTGGATGGCGGCGCACCTCGGCTGACACCTATCTTCCACCATTCCTGAGGCGGATAGGTCCTTAACCCATCATTATACAAACTAGAAACGTTTTCATAAAATACATTTTTTGTGATTATTAATTTCTTGATTAAAGTAAATTTTAATTAAATACTTATGTGTTATTTTGTTTTTAAAATGGTATAAGAAGATTGATAATATTTTTATCTTGACATAGTTGTACATTTCTGTCAAGATACGCAAGAAATGTGCAAGAAATTTGAAGCGAACTTTTCACTACGTACGGAAAGCAAACCAGCAACCATTTATCAATGTGCTATTGCCGCTTCCACTGCCGACAGGGAGCGTCACAATAAAAACTCGAGCAAGTTGAGCGCCCAGTGCGATGAGCAAAAACCCCAACGATTTTATCCGAATTTCCAAATTATTGTTATCACTTTTCTACTTTAAAACTAAACTTAATATCACATCTATCAAGATAAATTGTTTCTAAATATTAAATTATAACGTTTAGTTACATTGTTTCGTCTGTTTTATTGCGGTTTTGTAACTTAGCCACAATATATGCAATTATGGTAATGAATTAAATTGACCTGGCGGCAAATTATTCATTGTGGCTAATTATAATTATCAGGCTGCCAGCATTATCATTACGAGCGTCGACGTAATTTGCAAGCTAGTATCATGGGATTTATGCACAAACACTCAACCTAACTCAATTACACTTTAGACAGAATATGAAAAAAATATTAATATGTCCAAAATCGACTTGACACACTCGGTATGTAAATTGTGTTTTCCAATTTGGTTTGTGCTCTTGTGTCCGTCCACTCTTCGATATTAGTACATTCGCTTGCTCGTCACTCAAGACCTTTTTCGGTTTTCATTCGTCCCGGTTGGATCCTTGGAAATCTCCTTGGGAAGAAAATCGGTTAACTCGCGTGCCCGCGTTGTCGTCCCAGCGCTGGTATTGCTGAAGAAGGCAGTTTACGACTTGGCGACAGCAATTGCCGTCCGCCCGTCCTTGTGACGGCCGACCGTTTGGTCAGCTTCCCGGGGGAACCCTCCCGATATCCCTGGGGCGCCGCCCTGGGCGAATTTCACCGACACGTCATAAACACGTTCAATGTTCATTCGCTTCTAGAGGAATAACAAGGAATAAGAGTCTTCACAAAACCGGCATCCGGGAGTTCCGAGAGTTACTAAAGTTGTGCTTTTGGGATAACTTGTTGCAGAACACACTGTATATTGTTGGATGTTGTATTGAGGTGATGTTGTCATCCCGATTGCATGTTCCTGCTGACTGGGCTTCACTTGGTCAGACATGCTCTGACTATGACACACAACCCAACCGTATACCTGCTCGTTCTACGCTTTACTCTTTATAAATGAACCTGCAAGGTTGAGACTTTGAACACGTGGCATTTACCATCATCGGATTATTGAAATTTATCACCGCAAGCTACCTTTATGTTTATGATCGTCGTCGGCAAGCTTTCAATTCGAAGCAAAAACCTGGCAGGCATTTTTATGAGCTTCTTTATGAAGCGCACGTCAAATGACAGGAAGGGATGAAGAACGTCGGCACAACATCGAGACATCCATTCTACAGGAGAAAACCGTTCTATGACCAGCTACACCCTAAGGAGAGATATTAGTTTTTATCGTCGCGTAACGCAAGTTCCACGGCAAGGATCAGGAAGGGATGTGTTGAATGCCCAATAATCGTTTGTTTTAATGATGCTCATCACCAGACCATCAGCAAAGTATCATTGAAGTGTGGCATCACTACGGAAACCAACGGAACAGCATTCGGGCGGGGTTTGCGAAACGTTTCTGTGCTTATAAGAGGCTACTATTGTTTTCTAATAGGATTTGAAAAGCGTATTATTTTAATTATTTTTAGCCACAAATAGTTATCTTAAACTCAAGCAGAGTTTATATCTAATTATTTTAGCATTTAATAAATTTTAAGACAAATTTTCTTAATTTCTCCTTTTGCTATTTATCATTTGGTGTTGATTTAAACAGAGTTACTCATCACCCCGATTCAATTTAGTTTATTCTTGAGGTACTGGCAGATGAATTGCTCTAACGTGTTGGTATTTGGCAAGACACCTTGCAAACCTTGTTCATTCCGCACACTTTTCATTTACTCGCGTTATCTCCTTTTCATGCCTTATTTTTGCTTTTACTTTTTTTGCTTTCTTGATGCGCTTGTACTTGTGCTTGTTCCATTCGGTGTATTTCTTACGCCCCTACCTGTGTGTCTGGCCGAGTTTGGTTGTTCGGCGGTTCGTAGCCCATTCTTCATTCTCGTTCGCCGCCTCTTCGGCGGCGTTTGCCTTCGACGCAGCGGCAGCGTCTCGCAACCGCTCTTCCGGATGCCCCAGTTCGGACATGAATTATTTATCAACGTAATTTTTAGCAGTAAATCACATGGAACGAGGGGGAGGTGGCGTGCCTTTTGTGTGCGGTGTATAAATCGACGGTGGTAACTCTTTCTTTCTGCTCGCCAATACAACCTGTACCATTGTAGACCAGGTCATATTTTCAGAAAGGAGAATATAAATATATTTGTTTTGTTCTGCACGAATTACCAACGCTGTTTCACAAAGAAACTCATTTAAGGAGTAATTTACAGTTAGTGTAACCCGGAGGAAATAAATGCAACGTATCCTAATATTGTATCTGGTAATGGCGGTGTAACTGATACAACATGTTGGCAATTTTAAACAATCAAAACTCTTCTATTCAAAAATCAAAAAACACCTATTTAAAGTATGAAACCTGTCACTCGCAACCACAATACAACCAGTCTTTTTTGATATTTACCAAATGCATTTACAGATATTGTACAAATGTAAACCGAAATATGCGTCTGCGGTAAACATTGCATAGCAAACTACACAATTTGAATTTGCGTCTGTTCGAATATTCGCTGTGCATTCACGCGCCACCTAAACGATGAGAACGTTTTCAAAGCTTGCTGCTATATTGAAAACACCCACACACCATGGCAGCGCATACCGCCAAGTTAAATGGAACGCAAGCTAATCAAAATCAATAAATGTTACAACAATATTTTACGCAAATTGCGACTGAATATATTCAACCATTGTGAATTGTAATGGAAAATAGGCGCGCGTTATTTTCATAGATTTTCATGGATTTGCGGCGCTTTGTACCTAGAAATTGATTTTCGATGCAATGTCACAATACCTGATGAATTAATTACATCAATTTAAACAATGGTAATTTGGAGTCTAAATACTTCAAAATAATCTAATGTAATGTTCCTCTTTTGATTTCAGGTGGATATTACCTAATTGAAAGAAAAACCCACAAATTGCAAATTGTCGTCTTGAATACAAATCTTATGAAAAGGAATGATAACGACGAAGAGGCTCGAAAACAATGGGACTGGTTGAATATTGTATTGCAAAAATGTCAGAACAACAAAGAAACGGTAAGTAAACCAAATTCTCAATATATTTCGTTTACTAAAGATAATATTCAATATTTTTTTTACTAAAAATGATTGTGTTGGAGCAAATAGAATATTAATTAATGTGTATTTCTACATCTACAAAAAAGCGGTAAACGTCTCCATAAATATTTGCAAACGCAGTCGAGTTTCCAGGTTTTTCTTGAGCGCCGGCGTATTTTCGACCACAGCTAATAATTTTATGATCAGTTAAATTTATGAGGCCGCCAGGCAAAGTTAACGTATTTACCTTTATGGTTTATTAAATGGACAGGCAATATATTTCTAAAACGGCGCCTTGTTAGGCATACCCGGCGTTTATTTGAGAAACGGGCCGAGCGAGTCAGCAAGATGCATAAATTCCTACTGAAGTTGTGAATTACGTTCGGGAATTAAGCAAAACGAACAAAAATTTTACAAATTTCTGTACTCTACTGCAACACATGTAAATTAAAAACTTTTCAAAGCATAAATAATATATATTCCATTGTTCAGTGGTAGTTTTGTTTTAAAATTTGTTTGGAATATTTTATATAAATATTTTAATACTTCTCGATTTATTCGAGCAGAAAATAGGAAAAGCTTGTACATTTTGACGTCCTGTCTGGACTCGAGTCGACTCAACAACTCGCTATCGAATGGAAAAGTTTACGCTGATTCACCAAAATGCGAAACACAAACTCGCCGAAAAACAAAACATCTCGCCTTCACCGGAAACCAACACAAAACAATGCGAAGCATTGAGATTGCATTACTATCGTTAGCCCATTCTGTATTCTAAGGTTTGCTCTTTCTGTTTGAATTTATGCAGCTGCCATTTCCTGCCGCGGTTGTCGATACGTTCAAGCAGATTCTGAGAAGATATTCGCAATGTTTAACTGTGGAAGCGGCCGGCATTTGCAAAAACATTATTTCGTCTGCTTCACGGTTATTGTGCATTATTAAATGCTATAATCTCATCGAGGGTAACAAGAGTACGTCCCTTCCCTGGAGACGTCGAACTCGTTAATTTTAATTTGTACGTTACGTATTACCTTCGTTTGCTAATTGGAATATGCAGGCTTTGTCCATCGTTCTCTTTCTACAACTTCCTGGAAAGAGATGAATTGCTCGCGCAATATGAACGGCTTGAATTTTGCATATTGTTTGTCCGGATGGTGTTATTTGTTTACCGATATCTTTGTGCGTTGAATAACACTGCGCAGCTTTTATCTCTTTATTCCTTGTGGTTTCGAGTTTGCAACTGACGCTGCTAAAGTGAAGCGAATTCTTTTTGTATCCCCCTATTAGAAGAGGTAGAACAAAAGTTATTTACTCGATTGCACAATGTAATATTTTCAGTTGAATATTTATTAAAACTAGGAACAGATTCGTGCTCACTTTTTGAGATTATTTTTGTTTAAAACGTAATATAAAGTTTTAAAATGTAGCACATCACATTTATTCCCCTTCCTACATATATCAATTTGTGTCACGCCGGTTTGACTCGTCCTCCACTTCTTTTTTGGTCTACCGACAGTGCCATACATCTTGCCGCCGAAACGTGTTCATCTTGCTCGTCTCGCATTTGCCGCCTACGTGCGCACTTTTTCAACGTTTGCGCCTCCTGCTCGCGTGCGCGCGTCAAATTTGCAAAAATGTTCCGCAACGTTCGTACTAAGATAGCATTCCTGTCGTATAGCAGTGCCAACGCAACATTTTTAACTTATGCAATATTTTTCAGAGACGCAAAGATGCCAATAAGAAGCATATTATTAAATATAAAATTACGTATAAATATAAACTAAGTTGAAGCAGCAATTTTAATAAAGTCAAATGCGCAGTAAGGAACTGATTCATACTGAATCAAAAAGTGAAATGGAGCATGTTTTTTATCAAAACAAAAATTTTACAAAATACGTACGTAGTACTTGAAGCCAAAAATTGAAACCATTTGTGTTTTACAAAATACTTGCTTCGTCTTCGTTGAAGGATGTTTTGCGTATGTAGGAAACATTTTACGACCTCTAGGTGTTTTTGTTTAGTAAATATTTAAAGATACCGTGCTTCCTGTGCCTTCATTCTCCGACGTGTTTGCCGAGTTTTCTATTTTAGCCCCCCTGAAGAAAAAAAACTGGTGTGTGCGATTTTGTGTAAAAGTGTGCAAAATTGCAAACTGTAGACTGCGACCTGTAACAAAAAGCCATCAATCTTTGCAGCCGCCTGCGCGGGTTCCGTTTCGTTTGGTTCGGTTTCGTTTGCACACTGACGTTGCGCGTTTCCTATGCGCTCGCCAATGTATTTTCATTTTCTTGCCAGCAACCTTCTTGCGCATTTTGATTTTCCTGCGTTTTGTTTGCCAGGAACAAACGGCCCGCCACACATCGCTTCACAATACATGCAAGTATTAAGGTGGATAGTGCGGAAATTGCAAAAAAAATCGCTACAAGCGAAAGTCCCCGAAATAAAAAATACGACGCACAAGGGCACACGCAAGAATATAATAATAATAATAAAATTACTGGTCTAACATATTTTGAGTTAATCTCCTAATTGTAGTTCGATTAAATATTTGGAAGCTAATCCGTGTTATTGAATTGTGTAATTGTAGCCACGTGTAATAAGTTTGCACCAAATCACTGACTTAACACGATAACAATAATAATTGATCGTGTAATTGTATGAGTTCTGTATAAACACATCATCTCATCGATTGTAATAATCTTGAATTATACGGACGGGTGGGAAATCGAGAGAATTAAATTTATACATCTGCTAGGATGTCCGAACGTAATAGCACTAATGAAATCCACGGCGGAAATCCAATTAAGTAAATTACCTAATTGATCCTAGAGAATGTTCAAACCAATCAGCATCAAACTAAAGCGAAACCCAACAGTCGGTACCGTCCCGTCCGGACGGTATTGTGTTGAACTGAACTAGATTGAACTAGACTGGACGCTGGGACGCTCTGTCTTTTGACAATTACCAGGAACAAGAGCTTTTATTTCATGGATTCCATGTATGTACCTGTTCCGTTTAGAGTTTGGTCCTACCTGTTAGATGTTGGATGAGCAACGGACTTGTTCAGTCATTAATGGGAAGCTATTAGAAAAAGTAAAAACTTTAGTCTGAAATGTTTTAAAATGGTAATTTTTTACTATTTTTATTGTGGTGGAGTTGTATACAAAGTTTGATATCTGATGACACAATTCCAATATTTGATGCATAGTAGTGCCACATCCTTGCATCAAAATCTGCTCCCACTTTTCGTCTTGTTTCCTGCTGGCAACTCACTAATAGCTTCTGTCACTCTGTTCCATTCTATTTGCTTGCACTATATCAACCTGCAGCTGTTGTAGACTCGTCGAAACTGCACTCGAGGTCAGACTATTGTTGAATCGTCGGAAGGCCTCGCAACATTGGCACCTTCAGTGCGCATTACACGGGGTGGTGATTGGCTTTCTAGGCGCACCACATGCTTCTCAACCACTGTCAGTGAACAAAAGGTTCATCGTAGTGAATAATACACCTAAATAACATCCTTTTACGATGTTGCACATTGTGGCTTGCGAGATGCCATAACCATCCTAATATACTAGCTGGTGCAACAACCTACATATATAAGTATCTTACACTGCACTGCCAACACAGGATACAAGTGTAGTTCCTGTTGTAGTGGTAGACTTCCTGCAGTTGCAGTTTCAGTCGAGTGTTTGCGTCTAGATGCGATTCAAAGTCACTGTTAGAGTCGCGCTAGCAGTCAGTGAGCAGTAAACACCAAATAAACAAGGATCTGTTTCTACATTCAGGCCAAGATCCGAATGTGGATGCATCGGTGAGGAATTAAAGAAATAAAAGTAAAGCAAGAGAATGTTGCCGTACCTCAGCGACTCTACGACAGTAAAACGAAATAAGTCAGCGTGAAGGAGTGCGAGATGTAAAATGCTTCGTATTGACTGATGAGGAAGTGAAAACAGGAAATATAAACAATAGAATACGATATTAAACCCGAGCAGTGTGACTTTAGAATTCTCAAGTTGTCAATTTTATTCGCTGTGTATTTGCTATGTGATAAACTTTTATTTACCAAGTTAAAAATCTTTTGAAATAAAATTATATATTTTTAAATATATTTTTAAAGAAGATTAATATTATATAATATAGTCTATAAAATCATGTATAGTACAATAATGTTTTAGAATTCACTTTAAAATGCATTGTTCTGGAATTTATTCTTTACTTTTTTAACTTCATAGCAATATCGATAACAGTTCCGTAATCGAATTGAATTTCAATTACTTCTTAGTTGCTTCCTCGTTCCAATTCGCTCTCCGGCAATCGCTCGCAGTTATATTCGCAATTACAATCTGCAGCAACTACTCGTACTTGATACAAGTACCTTCCGGAACCGCCGAGACTACAGTTCTACACGAGTGTGCGTTGCTGGTCGTAGAGTTTGCCCTCTCAATGGTATGCCAATCCGCAAATTGCTCACCGTCTTGCGCTCCGCGAATAAATGTCCAAAACAATATCCCAACATTAAATTGCCAATTTGCCGAAACTGTGATCTAAAATTGATTCAATCCTAAACCCTTTCTATCGAACTCATGGTGAGATGTGTAGCGAGTAGTGTGGTCTATGTTGCTCCCGAGTGCATTGCTAGACCATCACTGGACTACCTAAGACGAGATTGCTAATAAGCATCGAGTGCAACTTTAATGTGTAGAGTCTGGGGGAATACATTGCTGGGTACAAGATTATGTGAGGAGTATGGAGAAAATTCTCATCGATAGTGTATTACTCGTATAGGTATCTGAAGAGGATATACCGATGAATGGAATGATGCAGAATAAAATTTTGATTCAATATAATTATATCACACTATAATTTTGTTTGCTTGTTATTAGTATCTCGCTAAACCTAAATTTACCATTTTGAATAAAATGCTTCATCATGTTGTGACTGAAAAAAATAAATGTGAAAAATTAGCCAACAACGCA